TGGGTTAATGTAATTATCACAGGCAGGAAAATACACAGTTTTACACAATATTCATAACTTTAAAAGTGTACATCACATTCACAAATTTTTTTCAGAATCAGCATACTTCAAATACAAACATACCCAAAAATCAGACAATTACCTCCAGGGGTTAAAAAGTTAGCTGGAAGTCTGAAAGGGTTAATGTTGTAATGGACTCTAATCCCCTCGGTTCTCGATCCCTCGGTCACCATAATCAACGTTGATGGAGGATCATTGTAAGCAATAACACACGGACAACAGCTTTACAAGACTCTCAAATGAGTGTATTCCAGAGCTGGCTTTTATACATAGTTTGCTTACATTAGCCATGGTATATGCAAATACAGTACAGACTATAAGATTTATTACTTCCTTGTATTACGTTATTCTGACAATGGAAAGATAAGCTTTTGCATACGTCTGGAAAAGAATATCCTTAAAATCGGAATGGGCAAGACATCCTGAAATTTAGCATTGTCTTACATCCTATAGAAGAAATACCTTAGTCTGTCACAGTCAGCATATTGACTTTAAGTATTCAATATCCCTTCAGTCAGCAATAATCATGTTATAAACCTTATAAAAGCATAAAATACATATAAACAAGTTAACTATTTAATATTCTTACATTCCCCTCTTTGAGCAATAAAACAATTGCTCATCTTATCGATAAAATCTTACCAGGACAGAGAAACTTCCACATGGTATTTTCAGGGGTGCTAGTCACTCCCTGCGGGACTTTCATTAATTTCTTCACCTCGATTCCCATGTGGTAATTCCTAAGGCCCAGTTTAAAGATGGGTTAATACCCTACAGTGGCAGAGAGGAGAATTTCTAATTGTTTCTGTTCTGCATTATGGATTCATTTCTGTACTCACTTCCTCAATGTACAACTAAGGTGACAGTTATATAAAATCATACACAATAAAATCAGGACTATAATAACAAAATGATAGAAGAATGATTTCATTATCTGAGATCCAGTAGGGGACCAACCAGTGAAGCATCGTACCAATGATGGGCTAAATCATTCTGAATTTGTGAACTCACCTTAAGGAGTTCTCCTTTTAGGATATGTGTGGCTACCTGTGTGTGTTATCTTTGGGGAAAATATAGTCCACTGTGTATGTGGGTGCCCACCAGGTTAAATTCTTAGCAAAAAGATCATAAACTGGTACTGGTAATGTGTTAAATTGACAAGCTAATTTAACATCCTTTGATGATGTATGATATAATGTAAAATAGCAAGAGCATGAAAAAATGTGAAGCATTACCAGTTAACCATCTATTGCATTTAGTGGATTGGGGTTTTAGAAGTAACCATTCATTATCTGTGAGGTTAAGCATCCCTCTAATCTTCTCTAGTTGAGGAATCATTAGTGTGTTTTCTAATGCCAATCCTTGTTGTTGTATCCATAAATACCTGATGGCACAAATACTCCAGTTACTTAGACCTGTAGTGAATTTCATAGTTGCAACAGTTAAATTATCTAAATAATTATACATTGATTTATCTAAATCCAATCCTGTAACCTGTGATTTAACAACAATTGGAGCCCAATTTGCAGTAGCATGAAAACCAGTCCCTATATGCATGCTGGCTGTGTTTAACTTATTCTTGAGGGTCTCCATATCTATAACTATTTAGTATACTCATAGTGGTTCCAGCACCTCCTAACAGTGTGTCATACCATTCCCTTTTCTGCCTTTGTTTGCTGTGTTACATAATGTTACAACAGGAGTAGTGATTTTTAATGACACATGTACAGCTTGTAAGAAGGCAGTTGTATTAATAACATGTGGACGGAATAGGTGTGTGTGTGTCGTTGTTGACTTTTGGTTCTATGGTAGAGGATAAAGGACAGTAATAAGGTGTAAAAATATAAGGTAGTGTATAGTTCTCAATTGTAGTGTTGTTCATAATGACTAACATTTGTCCCCTTCTCCAATTAATGATACCAGTTATATAATCATTATTAAAAGTAATAAGGCCTATCTGTTTACATTGATATGCAACCTTAACTGTGCACATTTCTGCGTTATAAGATCTAACAATTTTCTGTGAACCTTTAAACAAACATAATGCATCGGTTTCATTAGCTGTAGACACATTTCATATGGGTAACTGGTACTTATAAGGGTTACTATTTGTCCAATTCATCCAAATGCGTTCAGTGAATGAATGATTGCATATTGCATGCTGATAGAAAGGTGGTGGAGAAAGGTTCTTGAGGGGGCGTGTGTGACGAATGCTAGATGAGGGGCTAAGGCCTAATTGGGCTGGGGGTATTGAAGAATTGTTCATCATGTCAGAGTCTTTTTCCAGAAACAAACAGGTTTCAAACTTGCCATTGACTTGTACTCATAATGGCATTCAAGGAACAATATCAGAGGGAGTATAACAACTCCAGAAAGCATAGCGCACAACATAATCTTGGTCTCAGGTACGTATGATCCTCTCAATCTACGATATGGTGTAAAACCATGATGCTTCGCTGAGGAGAAATTCTTCTGTTTCCGAGCGAGGAGTGGTGTTGTCTTCCTTGGTTCCCCTCTTTGGACACAGCTTCACTCGGGATGCGTGAATCCAGATGTCATGGGAATCTGTGAGGACAGCGGTTCTGGGTACAGCAATCACAGTAGCAGGTGGTCCAAAAGGGTATCCTCCTTTCTTGGTCCTGTTCAGCTGACGGATATACACCTTGTCACCGGGCTGGTATGAATGAGTAGGTTCCTGTGAAGGTAAGGGAAAACTGCGAAGAAACATTGTCATACATACCATTCAGTTTTATCAACAACTCCTGTACATATTGTTCTTGTATTAGCTGTAAATCCCCAGACATTATAACAAGCAGTTCCCTGGCCCAGGGTGTGGGAAAAGGTCATCCCATCAAAATCTCAAATGGAGATAATTTAGTCACCTTGTGGGGATTCATTCTTATCTCATCTAAAATAGCTGGTAGATATCTAGTCCAATTTACCCATGTTCCTGGGTAAATTCTGGGCTTTTCCTTAATAGTCCTATTCATCCTTTCAACTACCCCTGTATTCTGTGGATGATAGGGTATATGAAACTGCCAGGTAACTTGCAAGAATTTAGCAAGTTCCTGGGCAACCCCACTTGCAAAAACCGGGCCATTATCAGAGCCAATCTGCAGAGGGCAGCCATACCTGGGAATAATTTCAGTAACAATAATCTTCACTAGCATCCTCCCTAGATGTCACAAAGGCCTCATGCCATCTACTAAACTGATCAACTATGACAAGTAAGTATTGCTGTTTCTTACCAATTTTGGATACATGAATAAAATCAATCTGTAAGTGTGTAAAAAGAGCAGCGTTCACACGATCTTACAAAAGACTGTACATGCTGCCTGAGATTCCTAATATAAAATGAATTCATGAAGAATTGAATGGTGCTTGCTATGTGCCTGACTGATGAAAATAAATCAGCTTGCTTCAAGTATGCCTATTCTTCAAGTATGCCTATTCTCCCCTCTTTAGAGAACAGATCATTTTGATCTTTCTCTAAACCTTGTTTAATCCAAAAGACAGATTCTGGGTATTTAAAAAAAAGAATCTCATAACCACTGAAGCGCTGGGCTGTCATGTGTTGTGTGGTGAGATTTGTCAGCTGAGTGACCTGGTGACTGGCATGAAGTATTGTAGGATGCCCTAGTGTGATAGTAGTAGCAGTTTCAACAGCCATTGCACATGCTATCAATGCTCTGAGACACGCCGGCATACCCTGTACCGGAGCTCGAACTACTTTGGAAAAGAATGCTATGGGACGCATACCGCCTCCTTGCTCTTGTGCACAGACCGCGGCCATGGTTTTACAATTGTCCCAAGCATACAAATGAAATGGTTTACAATACACAGGTAGTCCTAAAGCCTGGGCTTGCACAATAACAACTGTAAGGGCAATATATGCAGCTAGCATGTCTGGTGACCAGCAGACATTTTCAGGGCTGTCAGAACGTACAGCCTCCCTTAGGATTGAGTCATAATGGGAGCATTCAGGGATCCATGGTGGCAGTAATTAATCATGCCGAGGAAGGTGAGCAACTCCTTCCGAGTAGTGGGTGTAGGAATCCTCTGAATGACCTCAATACGTTTTGGACTCAATTGTCTGGTGCCTAAAGCCAGAACAAAACCTAAGTATTCAACCTTTGATTTACACAATTGCATTTTGTGTTTAACAACCTTGTGACCCACAGTTGCTGACAGTATCCACAGTGCTTGCCTCATAGCTAGGGCTACATAACAACAAATCATCAACATTTTGCAAAAAGGACGGAACCATGACCGGTGGTCCATGTTTTTTAGAGTATGTTAGAGTACCAACGAATAAACAGCTGGGGAATCCACATAGCCTTGGGTAAGCGTGTCCAGGTAAACTGACAGCCTTCAAAAAGTAAAAACCATAAGTAGCTGTGTCTCTTGATCAATAGGTATAGAAAAAATGCATTACTTAAATCAATGACAGTGAAGCAAGTGGCATCATGTGGAATGGCTGTAATGAGGGATGTCACATCAGGGACAATGGGTGAAATGGGCACAATTAAACTATTCAGGGCTCTAAAGTCCTGAACTAAGCGATATGCTGGCCAGTGGTGTTGGGAGTGGGTCTGGTGTTGTTCTTGCCTACCGGGCATATTTTGAGAATTGTGGGGTTGTTGGGGTGTGTGGGGTTTCCTGGGGTGTGGACACTCATTCCTCCAGTGGCCATATTGGCCACAGTTGAAACAAGTGTTCCTGTCTATTCCTCCTTGGTTACCCCTGCCCCTATAACCCTGATTTCCCTGTCTCCATCCCCTTGCCCCTCTTTGACCACCCCTTCCACGGGCTTTATGTGCTCCATCCCATCCTCGCTCTCAGCCTGTGTAGGTGGCAATCCCTGAGCATAATAAGCAACCTTACTTTCCTAAATCTTTTCTTAATTCAAAACAACCTGCATTTTCCTTTTCTATAACCTTGGTAAGAAAATCTGAGCTATCCAAATTGGCCCAGTCTGAAATCAATTGTTTCACAAGCAAATAATACTGTGGCAACATATTACCAAGGCATGACTGTATTTTAAAAAGATCTATATCATCTCCAGACATCAAACCTGCCTCATCCTTCCAACACTTGTAAAATTTCTTTACAAAAATCATATTACCAATCTCTTCCTTTGCATCTTGCTTATATGCCAAAGCAGTGAATATAGACTGCTTATTCTTCCATAATCCCAACATTTCAGCTTCCACCTTGTTCCAAATTTTAGCACATCTTACTGAAGTACTAAGCTCATAATCACCAATTCATTTCAAACCATATAACTCATACTCAGCATCCAATGTAATATTACACGTCATCTCACAAAACAATATCTTTGTAGAAACACATAATGGGTACCCAGCAGATATGCCAATACAGAAATCACATTTATGGGCACACAACTACACACTCTGTCTCCCTCCTAGGAAACACGGATAGACACAATATAAAAGCAATCTTAGACTAACACCTCCAAATCTCCAACTATTCTTGGCCAAAACGCTAGTATTCAACAACTAATAAAACAGTTATTTGCTAGGTTATTTGGCTGTCATTCTTATCAGTATCACTAGACTGTGACAAACTGATTCACATATAATTTAAAACAATACAGCAACATATAAATTAAACTACTTTCAAGTTAAACTGCACACTTATCACACATTATCACAATCACCATTTACACAAAATAAAGAGTTAACAGCTGTATTCAGAATATATTATTGGAAAGTATACCAATTTTAGTTTAGATTTATTTTAGGGATTCTTATGTGTACATTTTCTTAATTAACTTCATTACTTTAATCTACTATAGTATTGTATTTAAAGAAAGGATCCATTTATATAGCGCGCTCATAACTCAACTATTTGTATAAAACTACCATTAACTAATCTGAGATGATGCTGCATCAACTTAAATCCTATAGAAATTGAACAAACATCTGGACCAGATTAAACAGACATGGTTTCACCTGAATCTTTCAGAACTCTCAGAGACTTAAAAAATTTATACTATACCATGTTTTAAAGGCATGGCAAACCTTTAGACCGGTCAGTCTCCAAGAGCCCTTAGTAACACAGGTAAAAACCTTTTGTCCATGATGTCTGATTCAGGCTATATACCACAATTTAAAAGAACACATAATGTGAGACATAGAAGACACAAGCAGTAGTTATTACACTGGATCATTTAAAAGGAACCTGTCGCAATAAAAAGGTTAGTTTACAGTGCAAAATAAAGCATGTGTTGGACCGCTGAAAATGTAAATGTTGCTCTCTTATTTTCAAACAAAAATCATATTTACAGTATGGATCCTTTGCAACAAACACACAGGGCAGGGAAGATGTGCTGATTGGTGTTTCTATACAATTAATCCCATATGGGTAATTAACTTTTAAATACTAATGAAATGACTTTTTGTCTCAGTTATAAAATATACTGAGCTCATCATGCAAACAATGCAACACATTTACACTATCCCACTCTCATAATAAGTGTAGTGGGCTTATAGTATTTTTGAAGCAACAATCATTCCAGGCACACAGTTCCCATGTGAAATAACTTACAATAAAACAGAGTAATAAACTTATACTTCTATGCGACAGAAAGAATAAAGCAAAAAGATTTAAGTAGGTCTATCAGGTACAACCTGTGAGTCATTTCTTTTCTAATATACAGTACTGCTATCTTGCAAAAAGATAAGTCCTACGCTCACTCCCATCACTACTGGACAGCAGCAAGGACTACAGTACACATCAGCCCCAATATATGGTAAAAACCAAAGAAAAACAAGTTACCTGCGTTCTCTCCTTAATCCCTATGTATTTTTAAAACCTCCATTTGTTTAAAAGTACTGCTATCTTATATATACACATATACATATACACACACATATATACATACATATACACATATATACATACACACACATATACATGTACATATATTGGTCACTCAGGACATGAACTCACATTTCCCATACTGCTGACTCAGAGTGGGGACACTACTAACTTACCAAAGTGTGTCCCCAATATAGACAAACAATCACCCACAAAAAACACTTAAGACAAACAAAGGTGACCGGGAGAAAGAGAAGTTTGGGTTATACTTATAGATCTACAAACCGTGCTGCTCAGAACACCTATAGACTTAATAAACCGGAGACCTCTTATGGTCTCAAAAACCTGTATCTACCTTAGATACCCTGTATCTATCTTAGATACTAACCTGGGTTACCAAAACCCTATAATAAACCGGAGACCTCTTATGGTCTCAAAAACCTGTATCTATCTTAGATACTAACCTGGGTTACCAAAACCCTATATATATTTAGACCAAATGTCTAATAAACCGGAGACCTCTTATAGTCTCAATATAACTAGAGTCCTTACACCTTTCCTATCTACTGGATACAGTCTTACTGAACCAAAGGGGGTCATAGACAATCAGCGTCAAATAAGACACAAAAAGGCTACTCACCGCAAATGGTTTTGCTGATCCAACTTCTATCCCACTTCTAGACACCAAGCTGAAAGGGTTAATGTTGTAATGGACTCTAATCCCCTCGGTTCTCGATCCCTCAGTCACCATAATCAACGTTGATGGAGAATCATTTGTAAGCAATAACACACGGACAACAGCTTTACAAGACTCTCAAATGAGTGTATTCCAGAGCTGGCTTTTATACATAGTTTGCTTACATTAGCCATGGTATATGCCATTCATTACAGTACAGACTATAAGATTTATTACTTCCTTATATTACGTTATTCTGACAATGGAAAGATAAGCTTTTGCATACGTCTGGAAAAGAATATCCTTAAAATCGGAATGGGCAAGACATCCTGAAATTTAGCATTGTCTTACATCCTATAGAAGAAATACCTTAGTCTGTCACAGTCAGCATATTATGTAAGTATTCAATATCCCTTCAGTCAGCAATAATCATGTTATAAACCTTATAAAAGCATAAAATACATATAAACAAGTTAACTATTTAATATTCTTACAAAGACTGGTTCATTTGCATATTTGGGTAGATTTGCATATTGCTAATTCTGCAGGCAGGTGAGATATTTTCTGTTAAATATTGTCTCCCCCACCCCTTTAAAAATATGCCATTGTGTTATAATAAGTCACTGTATGTTGCCTGCTATGATTTGGCTGTTTGTAATTTATTGAGTTTTCACCACATTGTTAAATAAAGGTTTAGACAGTTCTTCTTGATTCCTCTAAACGTAGCCTTGTCTCGTTATTGGAGGAAGTTGTTATAATCACACTGGGGATTGCTATGCTCTGCATGCTCCCCTGAGCTTGAATCACTTAGCTCTTATAAGAGCTTGTTCCTGACACGCTCTCCTTGGAGGAGGGATCTTCCCGCACAGTCCTGGATGCTGGAGGTTCTTACAGGGTGGAAGGAAGAGGTCTTTCCCACACGGTCCTGGAGGACAGAAGCTGATCCAGGGTGGAAGGAAGACGGCAAGACTCCAGTCAAGCTACAGCGGTTGCGGAGTCTGCGGTGGTTGTGGTGTCCGGTGTGGTGCTTGTGGTCCTCGGCGCAAGCTAGGAAGCGTCCATCAACGGAGGGTACTCGGTCGGAGTACGGGGAGCTCCGTTACAGTAACATTAAAGAAAGATCCTGCACAGTGTTTTAATTTATTTAACTTTATTACACCATGTTATCTTAATTTTCAGTGAGCTGTATTCCCATTGTATTATATATTTTTGCAATGCTTTGGTATATCTGCTGCAAGATCTTTGCCAAAGAGAACCTAAAATTCCCTTGTACATTTGGTTCATTGTTATCCATTTCAGGGGATATTTATTTTATATTGTCGCATCTAATCTTCTTATCTTACTCTTATGGGTTTCTTGATACACTGATGCGCAGTTGGAGATGTGGCCATACTAGAAAGTTAGTCTTTTTACTGCTGAATCAAGAAGCTCATCTTGAGAACTGTTTGTATTGTTTGTCAATTACTTGTTGCTAAATAACCCCAGTGTATGTAAAGCTTTGTGGAAATGATGGCACAAAAAAAATGCTAATAATAATAAAATAATAACAAAAAAAATAGGCTGCATTAGAAACATACTTGGTCTTAAACAGTCAGGATTACTAGTTGTTCCAGCATGCAGAATAATATGATACTTAGGACTAAGGATAATGTTTAACCGGACCTTAGAATGTCCGGGCTTAACGTATCCAAGAATAGTCAGAATACTTGCCAAGGGGAGGAATACAGAATGAGACACAACAATGAGGGAAAGCCAAAAGTCAAGGATACCAGAAATCAAAGAAGACGAAACAAAGCCACAGTCAAAAACCAGAAGTATATACGATCAGGAACACACTCTCGGATAACCAGCAAAGGGAAACCATGACAGGGCAATGCGTAAAAGGAAACATTAGTTTAAATAACCCTACTGCAGATCCGATTGGCCGTAACTGGCCTTTGACGCCGTCATTACCGTGGGCGGATGTGGGGCTACAATATGGCATGGATCTGTAGCAGCCGACGTCCACCGACATGCTGCAGATGTCAGGCACACTGACACAGGACTGCTGAGCGGCACCTCCATTACTGCCAGAAAGGCATTTTCCACCACAAATACCATAAGGTGAGGATGTATACGTGACATTACCCCCTACCTGAAGACCACCTACCGGGTGGGCAGGACCAGGTTTGAGAGAAAACTTGGTGTGGAAAGAACAAATCTAGTGGCCAGCATGTATGTCAGAAGCCAGAACCCAAGAATGATTGGCAAGCCCATTCCCCCTCCAATCAACTAAATACTGTAGGGAACCACGAGAAAACCTGGAATTAATTATGGAGGAGACTTTGTACTCCTCCAGACCAAAGGAGGAGGGGGAATAACAGGGACTGTATACATATCGCAAATAAGCGGTTTGAGTAAGGAGACATGAAATGAATTAGGTATACACAAGGATCCTGGAAGAGCCAGTGAATAAGAAACAGGGTTAATTCTCCTAACAATACAAAGAGGACCAAGAAATCTGTGAGCAAACTTCATGCTAGGAACTTTTAGTTTGACGTTGCGTGAGGATAACCACACCCTCTCACCCACCTGGTAAACGGGGTTGGCACCCCGCCATTTATCAGCATGAAATTTGAAACGAGCAGCCGCAGTCTCAAGAGCGGAGTGAACTTTAGTCCAAGTCTCACGAGTAGAAGTAAGGTGATCATCCAGAGCAGGGATAGCTGTGTCAGAGAATACAGCAGGTAAAACATTAGGATGACGATTGTTATTGACCAAGAATGGACTATGTTCAGACGAGTCATGGGTAGCATTGTTCCTGGAAAACTCGGCCCAGGGCAGCAATTCAGACCAGCAATTGTGCTATTCACAAAACAACATAAATACAGTTCCAACGATTAGTTAGCCCTCTCAAACGCACCATTGGTTTGGGGATGGCAAGAAGAAGAGACTGATAATTCAATACCCAACTGTTTATTGAAAGCTCTCCAAAATCGTGACACAAACTGGGAACCCCTGTCAGATACAGTATTTTGAGGAATACCATGTAGTCTGACAATGTCACATATAAATATATGAACCAGATCTTGGGAAGATGGCAATTTTTTGAGTGGAATAAAATGAGCCATCTTGGAAAAGCAGTCAACCACCACAAGGATGGTGGTATAACCATTAGAACTTGGAAGTTCAACGACGAAGTCCATGGACAAGTGGGTACAGGAAATGGATGTAACAATCCACATGGATGTTTATGAGGAACCTTAGAAACTGCACATGCAGAACAGGCCTCCACATATTCTTTGATATTTTTCCTGAGTGAATCCTACCAAAAATGATCTTGAGACAGCAGATATGGTCTTATTAATACCGGGATGCCCAGCCGTCACATCGTTGTGGAATATCCTCATCACCGCCTCTCTTTTAAGCAATGGAATAAACAATTTATCTAGAGGTTTTTTTCAAGGTGCCTGGGATTGAGCCGCCATTATAGCACAAAGCAGAAGGGATGACAAGGAAAGAATATTGGAAGCAATGATACACTCAGGTGGAACAATAAGGGATGTCTCTTGTTCTGATTCAATGTCAAATTGCCTAGATAAGGTGTCAGCTTTAACATTCTTGGGACCAGCTCTGTAAGTGATAATACTGTTAAAGCGAGATAAGAACAAAGACCATCTAGCCATTTAGCATCACCTATAAATACCAAATTTTTGTGATCAGTTATGATCAGAAGGGGATCCTTGGAACCCTCTAACAGATGTCGCCATTCTTTAAGCGCTAGTGTAATGGCCAACAATTCTCTGTTAACAGTATCGTAGTTATGCTCCGCTGGAGACAACTTTCTAGAAAAGTACATGCAAGGATGCAAAGGGGTATCCTGACTCTGCCTCTGAGAAAGAACAGCCCCTACCCCTGTTTTGGAGGCATCAGCCTCCAGTATGAAGGATTTGCTAGTGTCAGGATGTACCAATATGTCAGCAGATGCAAAAAAAATTTAAGAAGCTCAAAAGTCTCCTTAGACCAAATAGTACAACTAGCCCCCTTACGTGTCATATTGATGATGGGGGCTATCACAGAAGAGAACCCTTTGATGAATCTCCTATAGTAATTAGCAAAACCAATAAACATTTGAATGGCTTTTTACCCATTAGGTAATGGCCAGCGTAGGAAGGCCTCTACTTTACAAGGATCCATTTGGAAAACACAGGTTGAAATATTATACCCCAAAAACTGTACCTCCGGCTTGTCAAATATGCATTTTTTACGTTTGCAATAAAGTACATTTTCAAGCAAAGTTTGCAGCACTTGTTTGACAT